CAATTGAACGCTATTGTAAAACTAATATAAATATTTGTGTAACCCGATGATCAAAATCTAGACTTTCCCTATGCTTAATAAAACAATTATTTTATTTCTTCTTGAAATTCCATTTAATGAAATAGATATGGAATTGACGTTTTTAAAAGCTTGAATTTTCAATTTATATTAACATTAATGGAGAATCGATCTTAAATTATATACGAAACAAATTCGGACGTGAGAAAAAGCATCAATAAATGGCCCGGTCCTTTTCCGGGATTTCACACCTCGCTATTTTTCAAAGTCAATGAGCAAGAAGTATCCGCCAGGTTTGGGATACTCACCAAAACGGAGAAACCCCAGCATCCTCCCAGATTCCTAAGGTGAAAAGACCAAAACATCCCCCAGACTATTTATTTTCAACATTTTTTCAATACTTTGGAAGAATGAAATTTTTTGCTTTACTTTGTTATATTTTAAGCATTGCTAAATTTTTTTTAAAAGAATTCCGGTCACGTTTTAAGATTAAGTTATTTTATTATGAACAGCATCGAGATATATTCTATAGTTATAACAGATTATGCGTGATTTCAAGTGATAAAACAATTATAACTTAAATGTAGTGGTGAAATTCATTTTTTTTTAATATTTTTCGTATTACACGTGTTATAAGTAACGCTTATGCATTGTTAAATCTGATATTTATTTATTTTTTCGATGAAATGCAATATTATAGCATATAAATATTTGCTTAACCAGAATTATAATATAATATATTAAAATAAACCAGATAATAATTAAAAATAAAAAGAAATTTGGTTTGGCGTGAGAAACCATTTTTCATTAATAGGTTCCTTGCATATCCAGTACGAATCCAGGAAGGACTCGCGATGCAAAGTGGGTAGGGTTCGTTAATGTTTCTCATTCGACTCTTAGAATTTCACTTGACGCGGATTTTACATATCGGTCAATCGCAACTCCTTAAATAAAAACTAATCAATAACAGAAATATCAATAAACAAGTGGCCATCATCATTAGTCCACTTACTTCGACTTCGCTATTGATCCATAGTAAAATTTTTTCGTGAAGATTTTAAGGTGAGAGCGTAATTCTAAAATAAAATTCGGTGTAACTGCTGCAAATGTTTGATTTCGATAAAGCATTCCATCTGTGGTAATAAATATAGAAATTAATAAAATTCTCAAGACTTGTAAGCTGTCTGTATATTTATATTTAACATTCAAACTTCAACACCTGTTACTAAGCACAACAGCAGTGGTGAGACTAAAATAGTAGATTTAAGATCATTAACAATATCAGGTAATGTATAACAACTCTATAATTAATAAAGAATAATTATGAGATTAACACGAAAACAACATTATATTACTTGATAATTTACCTGAGAAGAAGTATAGTGTCCAATTAAGTTGGCATTAGCATGGCACCAGTTAACAACATAATAGATTATATCAGCTTCTCTTTTCGCTAAATAATATGTTTTTTACTACATCTTTAATTATATCTCAACTTAATAAACCTATCAAATTGTAGCTTAACAAGTTACGTACCAGTGTCACAGGCATGATTTGAAGCTGGCCTCAGACGGTAATAAGGGATTTCTTCAAAGCGTTTGTAATCACAATCAGGAATGATTACTTGCATTTGAAAAATTTCAAGTTCATTATGAGGCTGCATAGTATACTCTTTCACCTGAAAATGATATTATATGTAAGTATTACAGTTTTAGTTTCGATATAAAAATGATTTGGTATAGGAAGAACTACATAATTTTATTTCTTTTAATTGATCAAATAAAGTCAATGTCTTTTTTTTGATAAGTTTGTAAATCGATATTCAAAAAATTAGCAATTGAAAAAAATTATATAAATGACATTCGTACTTGGAAATTAGAAGCAAGTATACTTGATACCACGGCCAAAAAGGTCCATCAAATACACAATAAGATATATAAATAATAAAAGGTGAAGAGAAAAGTGCAAATTGGAAATTAGAAGCAAGTATGCTTGATACCACGGTCAAAGAGGTCCACCAAATACACAATAAGAAGAAAAGCAAACAATAATAAAGGATTTTTATTTTAATTAGTTAAACTATCACATATTAACAATTGCCTATCCTTAGATAGGGAATAATAAATAAATAACTATGATTCTATTCATTATTGTTTTTGATAGATCAATAGGTATAAATGTATAAATTTTACTCAAAATATTATTGTGAATTAAATTTTATTGGGGCAGCAAAAAAGATATACTCACGAAAATTGTGATTATACATGGAATGGGTTACAAAGGACTATTTCTAAGGTTTTGGATTCTATTTCATTAATTCAAATAAGACATTTTGCACAAAAAATCATAAATATGTATTTATAGAAAAGGAGTAACAGGAAAACTTATAAAAAATAACTTTTTTATATTTTTATATAAATAAATTGAATAAATTAAATAAATTAAATAAATGAATTTATTTTTTGGATTATCTACTTTTTTTTGCTTAATTAGTTCACCTCTTTTAAGGAACTATTTTTATAAAATTCTGTTCACCTGTATCAAAAAAAATAACCATAGTTTGCATTTTTTACAGGTTCTTGCCTATCCAGAAGTCACATGCTATTAACCATAGAAATTATGTCTACATGTATGTACGTGTCGTGTTACAAGTACCATAAAATTATATTTCTATAGACTTATAAAATTTCTTTTAAATACTCGGAATTTTTTTGAAAATGCAAAGTGAAGAAGAGGAAGAAATTATTGATTTTAAACAAATTACTAATGAGCCTGTTGAGCTACCAACAGGTACAGGCAGGGTTTTGTCAACCATTCGATTTTTTTTTTTTTTTTTTTTTTTTAAAAAAAGAAACCTTAAACATATTTCCTATTTCATTTTTAAGAGGATACAAAACGTGCTGCTTCACTTGCACCTTCAGCGCATGAGGATGATATTGATAATTATTACAAAATTAAATTGAGCAACATTTACTTTGGAGCCAACACAAAAGAAACATGCATGATGGGGACTACTCACAATGATTTTGGGCTTATATTCCGACCAGCTTCACGTCAAGTTTCAATTTGCATACACCGGTTCAAAGATGAGGTGGTAATTCCTTTTGATCAGGTTTTAGAATGTAAATTAAAAAATCCAAGAGAATTAATGTTGAAATTAAAACCGGATTTTGTCCGAGCAGTATGTATTAAAATTTATTTTCTTTATATTTATATATAGATATAGATTTAAATAGATAGATATATGTATATAATATGTAAATCTTTATTATTTTTATTATTCTTATTATTTTTTATTATTTTCAGTATTACACCCACCCTAAAGGATTCCCATATGTGCATGAACCTATATTAAAAAATTTTGATCCAACAAAGGGCATGTTTTCAAAAATTACCAATATTATTTTAAATTCTTATAACCCGAAATCTTTTGATATTCTTGTCGAAAAAGATTTTGCTAGACAAGATAAATTGATTGAAACCGAAAAACACAACCAAACATCAGATAGCAATTCTCCTATGGTAAGTTTTATGAACAAAAAAGAATATTAAATTTTAGGACTTTAAATAATTTATTATTTTTTTAAAAAATATTTCATCAGACTTCTTCCAGTCCTAATAAATCTACACCATCATTATTTAATGATAATAATGATAATGAATTACCAGAAATTTCGACCGATAGTAATAGTACATCATATGTTTCAATTACTCAAACTACTACCAGAACAAGAACTTATGCTAGAGGAGAAGATACGCTGAGACGTGATGGTGAATTATTACAATCTAAAACAAATACTCGGAAAGAACGTAGTCCGTCGAACCCATTAGTGCAATCTCAACCACCACCACCATCGAAAATTCAAACAGCTTTTAATTCAACCCGCTCTCAAATCCAACCATCTTCTGCAAACTCTGATCAATCGAGTTTTAATTCGCATAATTTTAATAAGTCCGTAACTCCGCCGCCGCAACAACAATCAAAATCTGTACCAAAGACAACAAAATTTTTGTCAAATATACAAGATTCAACTCATGAAGAGGTATTTTATTTTTTAATAAATATTTTAAGAATCAATATTTTCCTGAAAACAATATTTACATTTTATTATTAAATAATTAGCTTTATATCACTTGTACTTTTCCCACCGAAAGACGTGCTATTCTGTATTCAATTGAAGGCTCATTATATCATCTCAATTATTGCATTCGAGAGAAATTTAACAAACAAAATTGGAAAAATTCTTGGTATAAATATGAAGGAGAATGGAAACCTTTAGTTGATGAAGATGATTGGAAAGCAGCAAAATTTTCGAAAAAAAAAGTGAAAGGATATATTAGAATCGAAATTTGTCTGAGATGAATAGAAAGTAATGCGAAAAGAACTTTTTTTTTTGATAATATCAAGGTCTAGAATTATAGAGTTGCATTTTTGTTCGTTCCCAAAAAACATTGGTCCTATTTAATCGAAAATAGATTTATTAACGTACGTTAAATGCAAACATTCATTACTCTTCATTAGTGTCGTTATTCGAATGAATTTATATATATATTGTTGCTAATATAATCCTTGAATCCTTGTATATAATAAGAAATGGTTATACCATTTTCTAACATTTCAGAATAAATTATAGAATGTGAAATTTTTTTTTCCGGAAAACATTTAAATTAATATTACATCCCAATAGAAAAATCAACTAAACCAATAATTAATTTTTGTGTCATTCCTTCTATAATTTCAATTTATTTAAGAATTTTTCACCTGATCAATAAATGTTATTACTTTATCAATCATAATTTCATTGTTTTTTTTTTTTTTTTTTAATTTTTTTTAATTGAACTAATAAATATTGTCAATCATATTGTTAACGCAACATACGAAATATTACAAATTATATTATCAAATGTTAAATCATTTAGAGATTTAAAGTCTTCTGATTTATATTAGAGAGATGACTATTTATATAATCAAAAATGTAAAGATTTTATTATCATTGAAGTATTAAATAATAATAGATGAAGTATCAATATGGCATAATTACTAGAATTGAATTTAAAATTAATGTTTTTTGACTATCTTAAATACTTCATAATCAACAATAGAACATTTTTCATTGGTTGTTCTAATAGATTTTTCATAATAAATATTAACATGATGACACCCACACTGTTTATCTTGAGTAAAATTAGAAACTTCTGATTGCAAGATAAATTCACTATTACCAAACCGTGGACCACAAATATTTTGATATTTAGAATTATAATAGGTTAGAGCCCCAGTTTTATTTTTAACTCGACTGAGAATTGAATTTTGAATTTTACCATTTTTCAATGAAAATATAAAGCTATCATTTGTTTGCATAAAAATAGTTGTA